GGGGCTTACCGGGGGCGGGGGGGGTCGGGGAAGAGTGGAGCTTTGTCATGGAGGAAGGAAGAGGAGCCTTTGGAAAGCCTGCGGCATTAAAGGCGTTAAAGGTGCTGTCAAACTACTGTGCAACTTTGGCTTTGTGGCATCCAGTAGCATTGGCGTGGGTCTAGCTCAGGGCCAATGGTAACCACCATGAGGTATCTCCACCTGGTGGCAAGGTTGAGTCCTGCCATCGCCGGATCCCTCCTTGCGGGCTGGGCTCTCACTGGTGGCGCTGCCCGTGGCGAGCTCCACGGTTGCCTCCCAGCATAGAAGCTGTTAGCCCTACGGCAGAGGCACGTTAAGCCAATTGGATGATCGATTACAAGTATTTTCCTCTTTAGTGGAGGTAGTAATCAATTGGCCGGCTCCTCTCTTCCTTCAGGAACTGTACAGGCTACTTTTCTTGGTGGGAGGCGGGCAGTTGTCATATGGCCCTTAATCTCCTGACTAGTGCCCTAAAGTAGGCCTAAGTGTCAATTGTAGCTGTATTGGTGAATTACGCTTAAAGGTTGTTGGACCTTGTAGTCCTAACTGTGTGCAGTAGTTCAGACACTGGGTCTGTCAGGTAAAGCCCAGCCAGGGGATTGTTGCATCCAGTCCACATACAAGGAGGAAGAGGGGAAATGTCTGCCTAGTCACTCCTCAATTGCCAGTCATGTAGATTGTTCCCATGTCTGGCCTAAAACAGACATGATTAAAGAGCTGTAGTATGAAGGGCCAGGCTGGCTGGCACTGAAACTGCTAGTGCACCGTAGTCAGAAATCATAACGAGATATGCAGTGGAGGGCAACTCTAGTCCAGCAAGTTAGTCTGATTCTTCCCTCAGTTCGAGTTAGTGTCCCCACCAGCTCTCTCCTACTAGTAGTTGCAGTTGGCAGGGTCTGGGGGGAGTCTAAGCTAGTTCCTGTATGAGCTCTCGCAAGGTTTCCCAATCACTGTTGCAAGCTTTTCTGGGACTTGGTGTCAGATGACAGCACACAAGTGTCACATGTTTGAGGCTGCCCAGACAAGTAATCTGACAACTTGCTGAAGGGGCTGAGACAAACAGTGACCGCAGAGGTATGGAGAAAGCTAGTTTAACTTGGGTAGTCATTGTAACTGTGCTCTTTCACCCTGCACACATTGCTGCTTATGAGCCAACTTCCAGTGAGTAGTTACCTGGGGAACAGTAAAATAATGTGTTAGTAATCACAGGCTGTGAAGTTACTGGTTCTCTATGTCTTTTGCCTAAGCCTTATCCCAAGGAGGAGAAAAGGTGTGAAGGTGCTTCTGGTGTATGAGTAGCGCATGAAGAGAAGCTTTGAATTAGTGGCTAATTGATGCTGATCTAAAAATCATAGTGTCTAGTGATTGAAGCTGCAGCTGAGGTATGGCTCTCTTGCTTCAAATAGCAGTGGATTAAACTGGTAGTGTCATGACTAATGGTTACCTGGCATTGCAGAACTGTGCTCTGTGTAAGACAGGGGACCACATTTAGTTACTGGCTGGAACTAACCTTTGTCTTAACTGGAGCTCAGTCCCAGTGGCCTTTAGAGTTTGACAGACATCTTCAGGAGTAGCAACAGATGATGACCTTTACCTTTGTGCATGTGTGTGGGTGTTAGGTGCTGCCAGTTCTTTACTTGCTTGTGGGCTAACAAAAGTAGTTGCTCTGACATTTCACTTGGCATCCTCACTTCGGCAACTGATACCTTCTTGGAATGGCTTGTTGTAAGGGTTGTAACTGTAAAGTTATAGCTGTTACTCCAAGCTCAGTTACTGTTTCATTTAGCATCGTGTGTAGCTTTCCTGTAGCATTTGGTCAAAGTGATGTTATGTTTAAGCCACAATGTACTAGGCAGTCTTAACAAGCCTCTCCTGGTTATTCTAGCTTGAAACAGAGTAACTAAGTATGGTGGAGTTATTTTGGGATCTCCTGAGTGGCAGGCTTAGTCTAATCTCTCTAGTATGCTATTTTGGGAAAGGTTGACTGTTCTCACTCTGAAAGCCTGGATGAGAATATCTCAAAACTAGCAGGAGTCAGTGATTGCATATTTTAGGTAGTAGTATGGTAATAACTGCAATAATGTGTGTCCAGGGCTTGCAAGCAGAAGGCTACTTCAGTTACAGGTTACTGGACAATAAGGTGATGTCAGGCTTAGAGCAAGCTGATAGCTGTGGCTTCTGCATGCTCTCTAAGCTAGCTGGGGTGTGCCTTCTAGCACATGGCAAGCTACTCGTTTGACAGCTCTTGACCAAATAGTAGTAGCTTTACAAAACCATGCTATTAGAAAGCGCATGCTGGTGTAACTCCCATCCTGAAAAGGAAAGGAGGAATGGAAATACAGAGCACAAGAGCTGATGTTCAGCTTTTTGGCACTCTTTGAACACAGTTCCCATGAAACAAGTTGTTATGGCTTTACTCTGACAAGTGAGTTATGTTTTACTCAACCAGTAAGACTGCTAAAACATTAGCAGAGTTCAATAAGCTGCTGCTTCAAATCCTTTACTTCTAGCATGAATTTACATGAGAAAGTCAGCAGATAAAATTACCCATGTTGTCCTTCCTTATACTCTGTCCAGTGTTTGCCATTGCCTAGTGCCTGATGGTGGGCCAATATAATGTGAAAAGGGTGAATAGCTTCCTTCTGCTTGGAAAATGTCTTGCATTTTACATGTCATACACAGAAGATATAAAATAACAAGTAACGTTCTACTAAAATTTTATGACCTTTGTGAGCCCTGGAATGCCAAGACAAAGCACCTCCACTAAATGATGCAATAAACCAAGGAGGAGCAGGAGTCTTGCATCATGCTGTAGACATGTGCAGCCAATACTAATGCATGAGCTTACACACTTGCCTGCATGCATTACATCGAACAGCTCTGGCTTAGCTGCTGAAGAAGCAGGCTGCTGTGTTTAGTGTCAGTTATAACATGGCTTCAAGACAAAGTAGGTTCCCTTGAGGGATGGGATCATACAGTTGAGAGCTGAAGCTACTCTGGAAAATGCACTCTAACTCTAAGCACCATGTAGAAAGCAGTACCTTACTCAAGTGTATTAATAAATCAAGACTTATCAGTTGGGAGACAACAGACTTGATTCCAGAAGGAAGTGACAAATTGTCTTGCTCTCTTAGCATAGCACTTGATCTAGCTTTAATAAGCAAGATCCAGATAAGTAATCATGCTTCTTTTTGTGTATACTAAGGAGTATCTCTGGGTGCCTTTGAGGAGTAACTTAAATCATGGAAACTTGATCAACTACAGAGCAGATATGTAAGCTATCTTTACAGACATCTTGAGGATTCTGCTGTAATGTGTTAGCAGTGGAGTACTGAAATGCTAATTCAGCTTTACATTAGTCGAGTTGAAACCCAGTTTGCTTGAAGAGTTTTGAGAATGCAATGCTAGGCGCTAGACAGCAGAAGTCATTGTGTGCACGCGTCCCTCTGCCTTGCAGACTTGACCCTGTCTTGAACAGGAAAACCCAGTCAGAACAACACTGAGGCTGGTTTACTGCTGTCTGGCAGGTGGACTGTCATAGTGCTTAAACTCTGCACTTGTACTGTGAAGGAAAGCTTCTGGCTCTTCTTTCATGATTCAATAAGGTGACTACAAAGATTTGGAGCTCAGATCTGGTTTCATGCTGATGTTATGCTGTTTATTAAGCTGGGTAACTCCTTGATCAGCTGTGGGGGAAAGCAAGAGAATATTGCTAAACAGTATTGAGGCTTAGGTTCCTTTTTTCATTGAAGGTGCGAGAGCAAAATGTGAGGAATCTCAATTCCCATGTAGTAATGGACGCTGTATTCCTTTACTCTGGAAATGTGATGGTGATGAAGACTGTTCAGATGGCAGTGATGAGAGTGCTTGTGGTAAGTAATCAAAATAAATGATACCTCTGTGGTAGTGCTTGCTAGTTGGCAGTGGGGGCTTAACAGTGGATAGCTGGAGAGATGCTTGTCTGTCCAGCACTTCTGACATTCAGAATACAGAGCAGAAGACAAATTCCCTAGAATAACAGGGGGACTATCTTGATGCCTTGTATCCCTCTGAGGCAGTTGAATTTTCCTGAGTGCTATGAAAAGTCTCCTGGAATTGGTGACTGAGAGAAAAGCTCACGACCAAAACTCTTTATTTGTGAGGGTGGTGACTGTCAAGAACAGAATGCAAGCCTGTTCTCAGTTCTTGCTTGAAGACGTAGTAGAAACTCTTTGCTATTAGCACTTAGCTGTTGGCTGTTCCATGGTTAAATGCCCTGTTTCATGTGTGAAGGAGATTCTGCTGAGTCTCCTATAAACACTAAGTCTAGCTTTGGCTGCCAACTCTTGCTTTAAGCAAACATGGAGGCCAAGATGGGTGACTAGATACACTTAGAGATGAGGCAAAATGGACTCAATATCCAGCACTGGTGTGGTTGAACTGCCAGTCTGCTCAAGCAGACCTAAACTGTTACCTTAGGGTTACATAGTACCATGCTTCTGTAATGACAAATCAAATGCCTTGATTATAAACTCAGAGTTCAAGATCTGAATATTAATATCAGTAGACCTTTCTCTAACTCAAATGGGTTCAAAGAAGCAGCTATTCTAGCAACATAGTCTCCCTTAGCAATAGCAGTCCCTCAGTGGCTGCTTACAGGAAGACAAATGTTTCTCTGTGCACAGCATAACTCTCTAGGATGTGTTAAACAGTGCTGTCATTAGACTGGTGGAGAACAACACCAGACATTCAAGAACTAAGGGTATTACATCATTTTCCTAGGGCAAGGCAGCTTATCCCTAGCTGCAATAAACAAGCTAAGCTCTGGTCTCTAAACAAGTGGCTGTCCTTCTCCCTTGCAGTGAAGAAGACGTGTGGTGAATCTGATTTTGTGTGCATCAGTGGTCAGTGTGTGCCTAACAGATGGCAGTGTGATGGGGATCCGGACTGCGAGGATGGGTCTGACGAGAGTGCTGAACTGTGCCGTAAGTGAGCCTGGCTTGTCAGCGCAGGCAAGCCTGCGGGGAATAGTGTTTTGACTTCTTGCCTGCTTGCAGCCCAGCTCTCCTCCTAAAGGAAGGATGAACTTGTTGTCTTGGAGAGCACCTTCCTAAATGCTAGCTTGGCTTTGGCCACACCAGGGTCTTGACAAGACTTTTTACTACTTAGAAAGATGCAGAACTGAGTGGGAACTCTGTACTTGTACCTGGTAACAGATAGCAAGTACAAGGTTTTACTGACAGTCAGAAGCAGCAAACACAACATGGCAGGCCTGACCATTACCAAGTGCTTGTTCACCAAGTGATCCCTGTCCTCCAAGGCAACTACTTTGCAAGATAACCAGAGCTAGTGTAGGAACTGAGTGACTGACTACATGTTGCAGGGTGGGAAGCAGAAGTGCAGAGGCTTGACTGTGAGGTCTTACAGTTAGCCACCCCAGTCTTAAGTGCAGTAGCTAATCAAGGGATTTGGATCTGTGAAGCTTCACTTCTCTGTATCAATAGGATCTACACTGAGGAATACTTCAGCCCCAAGTCCTACTGCACTTTGGCATTACTCCTGCCTACTACTATGTGTTATAGCTCAAGCTTCTACAGTGTAACTGATGTGCAATCACAAAACTACCAATACAAAGATACTCTTAAAATACTACTATGTTAGGAGCTGGAAGTATCTGTTTTACTGAACAGTACAAACTAGTGTAACCTCTTCCATGATGGAGCCATCAACTTAGATGGATGCTGGCATCTAATTAACTGCAACTTTGTCCAGAGCTGAAGCCTTTCAGTCTCAACTTTCAGGACAACTGCTAAAACCCAAGATCAGTAGCTCTTAAATTTCAGAACTCTTAAATTGAACTTAAACTTTTTTCAATAGATATGAGAACATGCCGGGTAAATGAAATCAGCTGTGGTCCTCAGTCAACCCAGTGTATCCCAGTGTCCTGGAAATGTGATGGTGAAAAAGACTGTGACAGTGGAGAAGATGAAGAGAATTGTGGTAAGGGAAGAAATGGTGGCTGCATAACTCTATTTGAAATTGACTTGTCTGGAAAGGAGCTAGCTGGGCAGTATACCTGGGAAGATAAATTTCTCATAGTATCAATATCTCCTTAAACCTGCATTTACCCTGTATTGCAGCACTGCTTAACAAAGTGGACTTCTTCTAACACTCCTCTATCCTGCAAGTTAAGAACTACTGCAATATAAGCTATTCAACGTCTATCTTTGGTGCTTGCCAAAATTAGCCAGAGACTGTAGGCTTAGTCACATGTGAGGAAAACCATCAGAACGTGTTCTCTGCAGAGTTTCTCAACAAGTGACTCTAGTTGCTGCTCACATTAACAAATGGTCTCCTAAAAATGTAGTAGTGACTTGTAGCCAAGGGCACAGCTGATCTGCTTTATAGCCCTATCCTGGAGTATTCTGTGTGCTTGTCTGAAATTGCAGACTAGGGAAGCTAGGTTTCAGGTGTTGGGGGGCAACTTCAGGCTGGTACGCAAGTGAAGCTGCCACTGCCAGGATTAGAGTGCAGCATTCCTGGCTTGTTCTAATGAACTTGCATATGTATGAGTTGTCTGAGGTGTCCTGAGTCAAATTTGCTGTAACCAAAGCCACAGGTCTGGCTTCCATCAGAGCCACCTTACCTGGATGGGCTAATGAGATACAGATCTCCAGGCTTCTGCTATGTGTCTGTGGAGTTGCTGCCTTGCTCAGCAAGCAAATGCCTTAATATGACAAGTGAATCTACAGACAGCATTTCTAATGAAGCTGATAAAACTATCAGCCTAGGCATACTGAGCTGCTAGCTACATTGCTATTAAACCAGCCTAATTTGTACTGGCCTAAGTTGTGTGGGTGTGTTTAATACCACAGGATCAACTGGTGCAAGATCTTGATCTGTTATCCCCAGTGGTCCAGGTAAATGGGCCACTGCTGTCCTGGGGACCAGCACAAAACACTTCAATTTCAAACTACAGTGCATGCTGACCATCTGGCTACCTTAATCTTAGTCTGTACTCTAGAGTTAGCAATTCTCTTACCTTCTGTCTCTGGTTCACAGGGTTTGAGCCTGTTTTTCCAAAAGGCTTGTGCTCTGAAGCAGAACAGCCTAGCTGCTTCAGAAGGAGGTTATTTTTCACTCAGTAGCTCAAAACTGATGCCTCTCACTCATAACATCCAAAGGCAAGGAGGACAGTCTGTGTGGGCCCCAAGTGTCCTGTAGGTGGTCAGTTAGGTTCTCCTAGAGCTTTATATAGGATGCTGATCTTCTGTCAGCTAACAGCTGATGAAGAGCCTGCAAAGCAAAACACCTTCATACAAAAGTCTGCCTTCTTGTGATAATCTGCTAATCTCTTACTCCTGTTACTCCAGGCAATGTGACTTGTAGTCCAGCAGAGTTCACATGCAGCAGTGGGCAGTGTATTTCCAAGAGCTTTGTCTGCAATGGTCAAGATGACTGCAGTGACGGCAGTGATGAGCTGGAGTGTGCACCTCCTACCTGTGGAGTTCATGAGTTCCAGTGCAAGAGCTCCACTTGTATCCCCATCAGCTGGGTGTGTGATGATGATGCTGACTGCTCTGACCACTCGGATGAATCTCTAGAGCAATGTGGCCGCCAGCCTGCACCTCCTGTGAAGTGCTCTGCTAGTGAGGTGCAATGCGGCTCAGGTGAATGTATCCACAAGAAGTGGCGCTGTGATGGAGATCCTGACTGCAAGGATGGAAGTGATGAAATCAACTGCCGTAAGTTAACTTGGTCCTTCTCTAGGAGGTGCTGGTTGGCTCCTGTTTTATTTTCTTTCCTTCAGCAGACCTCAGGAGTTTAAGTCTGTAATGGCTGTGTCCTCAGCTTCTCGGACCTGCAGACCAGACCAGTTCAGATGTGAAGATGGGAACTGCATCCATGGGAGTAGGCAGTGCAATGGTGTGAGAGACTGTCTGGATGGCACTGATGAAGCAAATTGTAACAATGGTAAGTGTGGAACTATGCAAGAATAAAGTCTTTGCAGAATATCTGTTGAAGCTGGTAGGTGCCCTCACAATCTTAATTATCTCAGTTATTCAGTGCTCTGGACCTGGCAAATTCAAGTGCCGAAGTGGAGAATGCATAGATGCCAATAAAGTGTGTAACCAGCAGAAAGACTGCAAGGACTGGAGTGATGAGCCCCTCAAGGAGTGTAGTAAGTCAACAAACTCATTACATGGTGCTGACCACTAGACATACTTGGATACAGCCTCTGAGCTGTCAGATGTCTGTCTAGAATGCCCATTTGCATTTCCTTGGTGGCAAGCAAACAAGAGCAACCTAGTCAATCAAAGGCTAGTTTTATCCTAGTCAAACTAGCTATTGGGATGACTTCTCCATGGCCAGAAGGCACTTGAAGGCATTAGAAACTCTGAAACTTCCAGGAGCCTCAATATTTGTCTGCTGCTGCCAACTTTCGACACAAGTAACATGCTGCTAGCTGAGCAAATATGAATTTGAAGAGGGTCTCTTGCATGTGACTTCAAGTGCCAGAGTGGTTTATCAGATGTGGCAGGCATCATTAGAAAATGGAAGGGTATCTGGTAAAGCACTCCGTGACTAAGACTTTAAGACTAAATATGTGTGCTGTCTCAGAAGTGGCCAATTCTTCTCTTCTAGATGTAAATGAATGTCTGGTGAATAATGGCGGATGCTCTCATATCTGCAGAGATCTTGTTATTGGCTATGAATGTGACTGTCCAGCTGGGTTTGAGCTTATAGACAGGAGAACCTGTGGAGGCAAGTATCAAGTAGGTTAACATGGACCCTATTGATGGTATTGGAGATGAGAACAAATTAAACTGTTGTCTTTACAGATATCGATGAATGCCAGAACCCTGGTATCTGTAGTCAAATCTGTATTAACCTGAAAGGGGGATACAAATGTGAATGTAGCCGTGGCTATCAGATGGATCTTGCTACTGGGGTGTGCAAGGCAGTGGGTGAGTATTGGCATAAGACTTCTATATCCCCACTTTAAAATGAGGTAATAAGTGATGTACTGTTCATGCTATTGTGGCTTTGACACTAGTTGTTGTGCTGTTATCAACATAACTTGTATAGACCTGAACACTAATAACACTCTGAATGATGCCATGATACAGTACTTAAAGCTGCCTGACATAAGCTGCTTGTGTCTGCTCCCTGGGCAGGAGGACCCTCCGCATCAAGTTGTGGAGGGAGAAAAGGGTGAGGTATGGTACAGCCAAGACCTCTGTCAGCATCCACAAGCAAGTGTGGAATGGCAAATACTAAATATAATGACTCTTAAAACTTGCCATAAAAGAACAGTATGTGACTGCATGTCTAGAAGTACAGATATAACACTTACACTCTTTTCACAGGGAAAGAACCATGTCTAATTTTCACCAACCGCCGGGATATCAGGAAGATTGGCCTTGAGAGGAAAGAATACATTCAGCTAGTAGAGCAGCTAAGAAACACTGTAGCTCTAGATGCTGATATTGCTGAGCAAAAGCTTTACTGGGCTGACTTCAGCCAAAAAGCAATCTTCAGGTAAATGGACTCAGCTTCTGAACCCTAGTGTGCTCCTCTAAACCATCCTACATTTTACTCAGGAAACTTCTCTGCGTTCTGGTGATGAGAACTAGATTCCTGATGTCCTAAAGGCAAAGTACAGTAGATGCAAGTTCCCACAACTAGCAATGTGCATATGCCTATTGTGCTTCCTAGTAACTGCTACTACAGTTGTACAAAAGGCATTCTGTGGAGAGTCACAAGTGCATATTCTACATTGTCTACCTGAGATCTGTGTGCAATATTTGCTGAGGCATGCCAAGTGGTAGTGTCTGTGGAGGAAGGGGTTGAAAGCAAGTAATTCTTGTCTTCCAGTGCCTCTGTTGATACCCGTGATAAAGTTGGAACACACGTCCGAATCCTGGACAATGTACATAGCCCTGCAGGAATTGCTGTTGACTGGATTTATAAGAACATCTACTGGTCTGACTCAACTGCAAAGACCATTTCAGTGGCTAGCCTAGATGGCACAAAAAGAAAGGTTTTGTTTCTCTCTGAGCTGAGAGAGCCAGCTTCTATTGCTGTAGATCCTCTTTCTGGGTGAGTATTTGTCATGGTTCTCCTAAAAAAGCAGACCTACCAGGTACTCCATGTCCTGATAACTGACTTAGGTAGCCTTTGTTAGTTATTGGTCATAATTAAGAGTGATACTACACAGTACTATAGTGCATCATACAACATAAATTCTGCTTCACAGCTTTATGTACTGGTCAGACTGGGGTGAGCCAGCAAAAATTGAAAAAGCAGGA